CCTTTGCTGGATTTCCAGGCATGGGTGAGTCCAGCACGTTATCATCCCAAGTTGTCACATATCGCCGCTTTGGAAGTGGACTTTGATGTCTACATATTAGGCGCTAGGTATTCTCCTGCATTTGCTGTTGATGTTCTGGGACGCTGCAACCAATGCTGAGAATCAACCAAAGCACGTGATTCAGTTTAGGCAAAAAAGCATGTGGTTAGGTTTAAAAAAACAAAAACTCATGGTTTGGCTCGTCATTCATAGGTGAAGTGAACACCAGGGCTCCGGGTGAAAGTCTGGGGTTTTTGCACCCATCTGCTGCCCGTCCAACCCACTCTGTAGGGACTCTCCAGCTACCCCATATTACATTGTTACCGGCAGCGTTTCAAACTGACACCATCCTGTGGCGTATCATAACCATTGCAACAGGTGCCGTCTGCCTGCGTTATGAACTGATGCCACCTGTCCTGGTATCATACTGCCATGACAGGTGCTGTCTAGCCGACTGGCAACTTATCATACCATCGTGAAAGGTGGCTTTCGGTATATATGTCTAACACTGAACTCACTGACAAAGCAGCATTACCTGATGACTTCATAATGACAATGGGCTGGTGGGTCTTATGGGGTTTGTGTTGTTGTTGTTTTAAATTATGGTGAAAAAAAATTCAAATTCAGGTATTATACATTCCATTGATTCCCCTTTTTCTTTTACCGTATTTGAGGTGAAAGATAAAAGGACTCTTACTACTGGGTACAGTTTTTGTTTTTTAATACAAGAGTTGACCACAATAACACAAATACCCGTATTAACCTTTTGTCCTCAAACAATAGTCCTGAAACATGTAAAGTATGAAACTTTTCTAAACTTGGTCTACAAAAGACATAAACTCAGGTACTGTTGTGAGATAGTACTTAACCGTACTTGAAGCATCATTGACCAATACTTTTTTCTACCTCTCAGGCTATGGTATGGTCATGCCCCCATTCCCTCCTCCTCCATACATGGATGCTCCAGCCTACATTCTGCCCCACCCTCACATTCAACCAGTCGACTACAGACGTTTGCTCCATCCCCCGGTCCATGGTCCCAGTGCACTCTACCAGAACCCAAACCAGACCCGCAGAACTCGCCTGCCTCACACTGTCCCTGTTAGAGAAACTGTGAACTCTGAGGTCCAAACTGAACCCACAGAGAGAGGCAGAGGTGGTTACAGTGAAGGAAGCCCACTTGTCAGCTCAGAATCTGGGCATGGAACCGCTTCAAGCTCTCCAACCTCCTCAAGCTCCAGCTCCCAAAAACAATGCCCTGCCCAGGCAGAGAATAACACATCACCCAGCAGTAAAACAAAAGACATCCAGGTTAAAAGGAGTAGCACAAGTAGCACAGTCAAACATGTCCTACATCCTTCAGGAACAAATACTGTCCAGTCATGTATCAGAGAAACTCTGGAGAGAGAATACAGGAGAACACAAAGGAGCTGTAAAGACGGTGTTGGTCGGGAGAATGCCGCTCCTTGCAGAACCAGTCACTGCAATGTGTGGTCAGTGAGTTCTCAAGATAGTATGGTTCCTGTATGTAGCTCTTCCCAAAAAGAGGATGAGGTTATGAAAGAGAGACGCATCTCTGTTCCTGACATTCTAATGAGTTGGAGAGGTAGCACGCCACAGGAGACGATGCTGAAGGTGGCAGACAAGCTGCCTCAGAGTGACCACCAGCTGCAGTCTTATGAAACTGAAGTAGAATATGAGAAGTCTGTTTGCCGGAGTCCAACCAAAAATGGTCCAGTGGTGGCTGGAGATGTTAATGCTAATGATGATACTGAGGTTAATTTAAGCCCTAAAGAGAGTCCGTCCCTATTCAAGGTCCTCAAACTGAGAGAAGATCATGAAGAGCCAGAGGCAGAATCCAGGAGAGAAAAAGAGCCTGTGGCATTGGTTGGTTCTGTGAGGCGCTGTCTACCCTACAGAGATGAACCCCAAGATTCACCAAACAAATTCCAGAAGCTTCCTGATAATGAGCAAGAAGATGACAGTGAGACAAATCCACATCAAGACACATCAGAGATCATTCCCTATCAAATGTATGTAAATAACTTTCAGCTGAAGAGAAAAATGAATGAGTCTGTTTGGTCTGTGGAATCTCTGGCTCCCTTTATCCCCACTAAGGAGTGGCTGCTGCAGAACAGCATTTTTGAGCCTAAGGTCATTGTTGAGATGATGGAGGAGGATGAAAATGGTAGACCGTCAGCCAAAAATGACAACCTAATTGTCAAATCTGGTAAAGACAGGAGGCAGACTCGCAGATGTTCCTCCTCTGACTCTGTCCCGATGTCAGACAGCTGGCTTCTTTTCAGTACCCCTGCTGAGAAGCTCGGTCCATCAGAGAAGCCAGAAATGGAGAGTGAAATTGACGCCTCTGAAATGAGGACACCAAAGCAAGGCCAGAGCATGGCTCCTTCAGAAAAGGATCCCTCGATATCCCCAACTCACCTGCCGAGTAAATTAATTTTGTCTACCCCCACTGAAAAAGATGTGGACAAAGATAGGTCTTCTGAACCTGAGGCTAATCAAAGCCCAAACCAGAAATCTTTCATTGTAAATGAGCAGCAGGAGAAAAGCAGCTCTCCCCAGCAGGAAGAAACTCTCCTCTTGAACTCTGCGGCAGGGGAGAACATGTCACCTACTGGCCAAAACAGAGTGGATGTGGAGGTAGAGGAGGAAGCATGCAGGAATGAAGTAGTCAGTCAGATGACGGAGCAACTGTGTGTCCTGATGGCTGACCAGAAGATGGATGAAGTGTCTCCATCGAAGGGAAAATTAGTGGATTGTGGTGTCCAGTGTAGTGAATTACAAGAGAGGTGTTCATGTGAGGAGATGAAGAGCAGCATGGGACCAAATAGAGGGCATCATTTGAAATATTCAGGTGATCTTTTTCTTCATTTAACAGTGAACATGTGTCCCTTTGACTCTTGTTAAAATGTGTGTCGTACTTCACTGGTTATTTTTCACAGATATGAAGAAAGCAAACAACAGCCAGGCCGAAGGATTCTGTATGAAGGGAAACGGGCAGAGAAACCAGAAGAGGAATGGTCACTGGAGGAACAGGGGTCAAGGTAGAGCATGTAGTTGAATGGATGTAGCCAATAGAGTGCCCAAGAAATGAGTCATAAAACCCGGAAATGAGTTCGCACTTTTGCACTTGAGCTCAGTGATTTAAGGGCATAATAGCCTGAGCTATTAATTGAAGTTCTACGGTAAAATATGGTAATAACTACCTCACCCATTAACTTATAGCTTCTACATATCTTTAAAAAAGCAGTTGCTAACAAGTGGCTAAATGAGACTACAGAGCGTCATCACGCCAAACAACTTTACAGTCTTGTTATGGTGCTGGCGTTGCTAACATTAGCTTTTTACTTCTAGTGATTGCATTTAGACTTCAGAAATCATAAAACTTGTGTTCATTTGTGAGGAAAATTCTACTGAACACCTCCATAAATGTTTGTTTGCCACTGAGCTTATTTTCTGCATTTCCTGTGGTGTGACATAAATCACCTTTAGAAAAGAGAATAACATTGAAAATGAAGCCAAAATACATTAGATATATCATGGTTTAATAATCCATCCCATGAAAAAGTAAGAAGGCTTAAAAATTTGATGAGTGTGCTTATAAAGTATTCTTAAAAATTGGACATTCTGTTACAAAGCCAGAAAATCTGCCACCTAAAACATAATTTTCATATTTCATAATGAACTTCAGGACTTTGTGGTTTGATGGTGACTAAACATCTTATTTTGATTCAAATGTTACTGAATTCTGATTATGTCTTTTGTGGCACTATTTGGTGCAACAATGACTCATTAAATCACAACCAGCTTTGTAGTTTGTTGGTCTTGAACAGTGGTCTACACATAGGCGATACACCTGCTAAGCTGCAGTCTGTTTGAGACCAACAAACGACAAAAGCGGTTGTGATTTAATCAGTCCTCGCTGTGTCTCCAGCAGAGATAGTGCCATGAAAAAACTGAAATTTTAAGTCAAAACTTGATTACTAACCATAACCAAGTGTTTTTTATTGCCTAAACCTAACCACACCAACATCACAGTATTATTAAAATACGAAGTGTCAGCGTATTTATTAAATGATATTATGCAAGTGCAACTTATCTGTGTTTTGCAGAAATATATGCTGACAACAATTTTTCTAGGAATAAACCAGTAAGAAGAGCATAGACACATTTGGTCTTTGATAAAAACAATGTAATCATGCAGGACACCATGCTAAATGAGAACTAACTTTCAGGGACTTAATAGGATACTCTCTGTTTACAGAAAAGCACAGCAACCAGCAGGATATCTACAATGGATACTGTGGCAAACCTGGGAAATCACAAGGTATGAGCTGCAGCTTCATCCCTGCTTGTGTCAGGGTGATTTATGGTAATCATGGATTGACTGGATGAACAAATTTGACAACAGGACACATCAGGACTGGTTTAATTCTACAAGTAGCTGCACATTGCACATTTGCAGTCTGGACTTTTGGCTGTATCCCAATATTTCCCAACAGAAAGCACAAATTTAGCCTCTATGAGCAGTTTACTTGACTTGGTGTGAGTCACCTGTATAATTTTTTTTTTGAACAGAGGCTCATGTTACTGTCTTTTAAAACAAACAAAAAATCTTAATCAGATGACTTCATACACTACTATGCATTTCATTGCATTGGATAAAGGTTTCTACTGTCCCACTCACTGACCTTCATAATGCATAAGTGACTGAAGCCAAGATTGTTGTGTCTTCCAGGTGGAAATGGAAGGAACCCACGGTACTGAGCATTGACTACACTCTACAAGACAACTCTTGGTTTTAAAGTATCAGTTTAATATTAACATGAATTTCAAATTAAGAATGTAATAAACCTATTCTTCAATAAATGTTTTGTCTATGTCTTCAATATTCAGATTTTTAAACATGGTTTAAGATCTTAAGAGAAAAGGCCACTGTTATGCTGCAGGATATGCTTTAAAATGATCCAAAAACTACTGTTAAGCAGAGGCTGCGGAGCACAGCTTGAAGTAACAGTCAAATGCCTGCACACTAACGTTTGACTGTGTACCTTGGGTGGATACAATTTAGGTTAATGCCACAGTAAATAATGGTCTCCTAGTTGGATACACTCATTTCCTTTAAAAAATGTCATGAAGTGGGGTGAGACCGAACAATCCTATCAGATTTCATAGGTCATCACCCAGCTGGGTGATCTCGTCCAGCAGGAAGTCAATGTCCTCTGGCTGTGTGGCAGGATTGGAGAACACACACCGGAAGAAATTCACTTTGTCTCCTAAAGGCTGATAGCCAATCAGAACAGAGCCCTTCTCCATCATCCTGCCTTTGATCCTAGGAGCCACCTGCAGAGAGAGTGAAGATCACCATCAGTATCAGCCTCTTCTTTGCCAGTCTCCTTGAAACTCCTCACATATTTTCAATATAAAATGAAGCAGTGGCCCTGAGCATCAATGAATGAGTCCAGGGGAGACACTGATGTTCTGTACTGACCTGATGGAGTCTTGTATCTCTGTCAGGTCCAGGTGGTAGGCCTCTTAGACTGGGAGGGATGTACCAGAAACATACGTTACTATGCTCCGGCTGTGTGAGAGGTACAGGACAAATACGGACTGGATTTAGAAGGATAGTGAAACAACTAAAATTAAATTAAAAATAAATACTTTTTTTGCATCTGTCTTGGTTTTTGTTTGGACATCCAGTTTACAGCAAACTAAACTATACAACAGCCCTGGTGCTTGGTGCGCTGCAAATTAAGGAAAGTTATGCAAATAGACCCAGACAAGCAAATGAAACATCCAACTTGACAACACATACAGAGCACTTAGTAAAAGCACTGCAAGAAGCTCACAACACTACAGTGTAAGTTCAATCAGGAAGACATCCTTTATGCTTCATTCATTCACAACTCTCCATCCTACTCTACTAGTTATCCACTCAAGCTTCACCATGATCTATATCAGCAAATCAAGATGCTACAGTCAACTTTTCGATCTGCTCTCTCCTCTGCTGTTGTCAGCTGTCATTTTAGGGAGAACCATCACGCTTCCCTCACCCCATGCACCTACAGATATCATATCTAGAGTTCAGGACTCTCCAAAAAGCTCACCAAAAGCCCATTCCTCTTCTCCTCCAGATCATCAAGCACTCTCTTCATCTCATCTCATCTTCACTATCTCTACCACCATCAGCGTCAATACACTGGGGGGGTTCCCTATTCTACTACGGCTCAAGTAAATAAATATTCTTTTCATTTAGAATGAGATTCAAATTGTTTGAAGGGGATAATAAAAAGTGACGCACATGGCTGGCACGCTGACATGTTTGTTAACACTAACACTAGATTAATAGCAGGTAACTGCAATAATATATGAATCATGCGACACTTACTGACACACTTGTGTGTCCCAGCTATGTGCACCACTTCCATGTCCCCTGGAGACAACTTCTGTTGTGTTGTCAGCTTCTTGCAGTGCTTTTTCTAAATGCTGTGCATTTGCTGACAACGCAATCTTTTTGTGTGTTGTCAAGTTGGTGAAGATGTTTTTAAATGCTGCAGATTGCCAAGTTGATCAGGGTGTTTTCTAAATGCTGCAGATGTGTGGCAAAGCTGATGAAGAGGTTTTTCATCGACATGCTGTTTCTTCCTTTGCAGTGCGTTGAGCTCTCAGAATTGGGTTGAAAAGTGAAAGCTTTGTAGATGACTACATGAAAGAGTTGTTTTAAGAGAATTACAGTGATGAAATGTAGTCACTGAAATCAGGGGCATAGCACCAAATTCTAGGCCTGATGCGTAAGCACTTTCTGTGGGCCCCCAACCTTTCCTGTATTGATCTATGTCTCTTTCATACACCTTTAATTTTGTTGTTGTTGTTTTTAAGTCAGTTTGCTGTCTTTTCCTTTTCTTTCTTTCTTTTTTTAAATTTGAAACCCTGATTTCCCTGTCTTGGGTTCCACCCACTCAAACACAGTTGCAGACCAAGTACCCCCCCTCATGGCAACAGTGCTCCCCAATGTCAGTAGGCCCCCAGCAGGATAATGCACCATGCCAAACTGCAAACATTGCTCAGGAATGGCCCAAGGAATATGATAAAGACCTCAAAATGTCAACCTGGCCTCCAAATTCCTGCAACGGTATTTGAGTGGGTGGAACATGTCAGGTGGTATCCACATGAACGCCAGAACCAAAGGTTTCCCAGCAGAACAATGTACTGGAACAAAATAATCAGAGTTATTCACTTCACCTGTCAGTGGTTTCAATGTTTTGGCTGATCTGTATAATTGGGACACTGTGTCAAGATAAAACTAGAATTACCGCCCCGCGGTTGTGTGCTTCCGCGCACCAGTTAATTTCTCTTACAGGTCACATCCGTGTCAGTGAAAACATGGATACTTCACACACATTTTCCCCCCGGCAGCACAGAAGATCTATACAATTAGCACAGTTTCAAGATGGGCACCCAAGATAAGTATCTGACCAAATATTTAAATGACACTGAAAAATGGCCAGAAAAGTGTTTGATGCAGAATATTAATGTTATCACTTCATTATTTTATCCTATTAGACATTTGTGTGAAGTTATGTCATAATTTGCATATGATTTCTTGAGTTATGGCCAAAAACATGTTTTGTGATGTCACACTGACCTTGACCTTGGACCACAAAATTCCGATCAGTTTATTCTTCAGTCCAAGTGGATGTTTGGTCAAATTTAAAGAAATTCCCTTGAGGTGTTATTGAGATATCGTGTTCATGAGAATGAGACAGATGCAAAGTCACATTGACCTGGACCTTTGACCACAGAAATTCAATCAGTTCATTGTTGAGTCCAAGTGGACATTTGTGCCAAATCTGACAAAAATCCCTTGAGGTATTTTTGAGATATTGTGTTCACAATGATGGGACATACGTAGGGACAGACGGACAACCCGAAAACATAATGTCTCCAGCCATGGCTGTCACCAGTGCGGAGGCATTAAAAATGATTTCAACATGGCACACAAGACAAATAAAATGTATTTATCTCATTTATAAACAGCCTTACTTTGTGTTTAAAGACCAGTTCAAAGTCTGTTCTCCTCTGCAGTTGATCGTGCAGATACTCTGCGTTCTCTAAGCATTTGTTGACCTGAAATCCAAAGCCCTCTAAACCCTGAGACAGTGAGTGACAGAGACAAAGACAGACAGAGACGCACACAGTTAAATAGGCAAACAGACATCTCATCACACATCACAAATACAAAGGGGTTGAATTGAGACTTACTAAGGAAAAAAAAGAAGAAACTGTAACCAATCAGCATCCAGTAAGGTACCTTCCCCCAGTAGACACACTTTCACACCAAACTGTATTTCTCAGTATCACACATGCTCACAGGTGGATAATCTTCATTTAAAAACTTTTTTGAGCAGTTAGTTTTGTGTCAACAACTACAGAGTCATCCACTCAAAATATATAAAATGGTCAGTGGTCAGGCAGATTCCTTTTAATTGATACTATAATATAATATTATAATAAACAGTCAGCTGTAGTTCTCCATGAGTTAATATTTTGCAGCCCAGTCATCAGAGGGAAACGTTGGCATTGTGTGTTTCTGCAAACCATGAATATGTTACATTTGTATTATATGAGTGTTTCTATGATGTCATAGTATATGAGGTGACATTGTCACCTCATATACTATGTCACTGTAGAAACACAGTATATGAGGTGACATTGTCATTTGGAGGTCGAGGGCATGGTGGATGGTGTGTCACTGAGGCGAGATGCCTGCCAAGCTGAAGACCACTGCAGACCACCAAACAATGAAATGGCTGTAGCGAGTCATTTCTGTGTTTCCACCGCATTTCAGGCACCAAACATGGGTGTTTTGTAGTGACCTGTTGATGCTTTTCCAGTGGGGGTGGTGCACCCAACTGGGTAACTTCAGCCAGCACATGATCTTTTTTCCTTACAATAACCTAGTGTTTTTGTAAGATATTTTCTAAGGCTTTTTGCCTTAATTTGATAGGACATATATGGCATGAAGGGGGCAGGGAGAGAGTGGATGACATGCAGCAAAGGGCTGTGGGTTGGAATAAAAACCCATGGCTACTGCGGCAAAGACACACCATATATACATGAGGCACCTGTGCTACCAGGTGAGCTAGTGTGCGCCCCACCAAGCATATGTTAACCACAGTGTTGTTGAGATGTTAAATTTCAAAGTATCTGCTACATGATAACTTGCTAATGTAACACATCTGTGGTTTGCAGAAACGTTCTTTTAGCTTTTTGCAAACTAAAAACACACACAATCAACACACTGAATTCTGTGCTGTCTATTCATGTTTGTCTGTGTGTGTGGACTGTGCACCTGCCAGAAGACGTCAGTCATGAACAGAGGTGTTAAACTCAAAAACAGTAAGAACAGCCGAGTCATTTGACCACCACTGAAACCAACCTCAACTTCACCCAATAACTGATTTTCCTGGTGAAAATATATTCAGCCTGCTTCAGCCTTTTCCAGATTGCATGTAACTGGGCCGGGATGGGGCTTATGCAACCGGTCATACAAATCCAAAATAAGTTGGTTACATCCTGTTATTAGTTTTGATCTTACATTAATGCATGATTCATGTTAACTGAAACTGAAACCTTCAGCTCAGTCTGTAAATGAGTTGATGTGAAGGTGCATAAAGAGTGACAATGAATAAATTTAGTGAACGTGAAGGAAAGTTCCCAACATTAAAATACAATCAAATTCAGTTTGGCACTTTGACACAGCACCTGCTGTGTCAGAATGAGAGGGAAGATACTGTACACACATACCTTCGCCTTCCACATCAGCCACAGTTTAAAGACGTCGACATGTCGGCCACACTGGATGCTCTTATCTCCGTTATCATAGCTCACATCATAGGGTTTGTCTGTCTGGAAAAGGTACTCAGCCCCCAACTCATTACACTCCTGTAAGAGACCCTGCAGAGAAAAGAGACACGCAACGTTCATACAAGATCCAGCTGGAGATCATATGCCAGCAAACCTTAGGAGATCTATGGAAGGATGGAGTGATGACTGAAAGAACGACTAGAAATGCAGAGAGGTTTAGATTGTGAGATGGGAATCCCTCTCCTCTGCTGCCTGACCTGCAGCTGTCTTACAATTTCAGCTTATTTACACCGAAAAGAGAGTGTCACACTTTTGGCTCCCAGGACTAGCTGCTGGCTAAATGTATAGGTGGCTCAGCAGAGTGAAAGACAGACCCAATGCATTATTTAGATAAATATTGATGGTTATGTTTGTTTACACCTCTAAATACCTGCTTTTTAGCTAGCAATAGGCTGTCCGAGTGGAGTCACTCAAGACCATGTGATGATTTGAGCAAGAGTGCCAAAAAGAAAATTGTTCTTTATGTCATTCTTAAAGCCACTGGTTCCCAGCCTGGGGGTCCTGACCCCTAACAGGGGCAAATTTTTCATGGCTGCAACCCACATACTCAGCTCTGCTGCTCATCCCACAAATGCATGTTCCTTACAAATGTGGCACCATTTAAAAGGGAAATAAACAGGCTCCAACCGTATAAGATTTATTGGCAAGAAGCATTGTATATACATAAATATATATTAATATATTATTTTTTATTATACAAACAAACAAGACCCCCACACCCCCCACCCCCAAATGACCATATTCTGTTTAGCATAGATAAACTCATACTAAATAATGTCGCAATTAAGAAAAACATTCACAGGGGTAATTAATACGACATAAGTACAGTCTTTTAAAGTGTTCGAATGAAATAAGAGAAAGTAACTTCAGATTTTTTGAAGCTCATTCCATTTGTGTGCAGCATAGTACTTGAACCTGTATCTGCCAAGTTCAGAGTGAACAGGAGGTACAACTAACATTACAATATCCTGCGACCTGACATTGTAACTACTGTGTTTAAATTCAACCAGAGAGCAGAGGTAACTCGTAGTTTTTGTAAAAGAGCCTTAAGGATAAACAGTATGCAATGCTGCTCCCTTCTGTTTGTTAAGGAGGGTCATCCCACCTTTTCATATAAAGTGCAGTGGTGAGTGAGGAATGTATCACCTGTGATGAAGTGCAATGCACTGTGATACACAGCGTCAAGAAGCTTTAAAGTAGAGGGAGAAGCATGCATATACAACTAGTCCATACCCACTGGTAGCTTTGTCACCTTCTACCTATGCCAATCCTCAATGCCTATGTACAGTTTCACATAGATTGACCACGTCAATGAGTAGAAAAACGTGGAACAAACAGAATGACTGACTGACCGTTTCCGTGATTATGTACAGCATACCATACCATGACTTTAAGCATTTTTCTGTTTTTATAGTGCTAGTCAGTTGCCATTTCGAGTTAAATTTATCCAGTCACTTTGAGGTGTCCTGTTCTACATATCTACCAAGTTTAGTAAAAATTCATATGGTGGTTAGACCTAGATAAGAAATTAGCTCTCTAGCGCCCCCATTTTGTTTGATTGGGTCAATAATGGAGGGGTCCCCTCAGATTATGTGTGGTCATATGCCTACAAAGTTGCGTAGTGATCAGTGAAACCCTTGAGATGTTATACACCTTTATGTGATGAGCCACACCCTCAGCAATATTCATTGCCTCATAGAAGCTCAGTTTTAGTAAGTTTTCCAACTTTTGCCAAGAGGGAACTTTAGATATTGTTCCCTAGATTATTCTCACCGAGTTTCATACAAATCGGTCAAACTTTCGAGGAAGAGATCGATTTTAAGTGTTTTTCAAAAAATTCAAAATGGCGGAAAATCTGTATAACCTTAATTTGTTCCTCACGAGGAGAGGCATCTCTGTGCAAAGTTTCATGTCTCTACGACATACGGGGCATGAGATATGCCCATTCAAAGCTTGCAATTTCAATCGGTTGCTATAGCGCCCCCATTTGGCCAATTGATGTAATATTGCTTCATTTGCATCCTCCCATGACCCTCAACCACTGTGCCAAATATCACATGGGTTGTCCAAATTCAGTGAGGAGAAAAACGTGGAACAGACACACAGACAGACACACCCACAGACAGAGTTTTCGTCATTATATAGTAAGATATCACCATAATCAAGGGTAGACAGAATTATCAATTGCACAATGGTCTTTCGATAAGCTGAAGAAAAACAGGATTTGTTTCTATACAAAAAGCCAATTTTGACCTTCAGTTTGCTCGGTAGGTGTTCCACATCAGTTTTAAAAGTGAGTCTGGTATCCAGCCACAGTCCCAAGTATTTATAACGTTCAACAGTGTCAATTTCAAAACCTTGAAATGTTCGGATATGGGTAGTATGTTGAATATTGTTTAGTGATCTAGAGAATAGCATAATTTGGTTTTGGCTGAATTTAGAACAAGCTTATGTTTGATGAGAGATATCTGAAATTTATCAAAAGCAGACTGTAGATTTTCAGTGGCCAGAGT